CATGGCTTAAGTAATATAAAAAGTTTTTAAATGGAAATGTTATATAGTTGAAATGCTTTCTATATATATGAAAGCCAAACGATTTTATTTCGTTTTCTTTCATCTCAGTTTCAGTTACAAGCAGTGCTTAAATACCAGTTTTTAATTATATTGTAAAAACGTTTTCGTTGCAATGTGAGGTTAATCTTATAAGTTATGCAACAATTACCGCATGCCACATGCCAGCATATATTCATGGTTATGGTTAAATATCGTGTTTGCGATAAACATGTTTAATTTCCAACCATTATAAAATTCGAAACTTGCCAGACATGAAATGCTTTTACATATATATATTTGTATATATGTGATATCAAACGGAAATACAATTTCAGTACTAGCTTTTCTATCTTTTTTTCTACTTTTTCTTCTTCTTTTTCTTCTTCTTTTTTTTATTTAACTTTCCTGTTGTAATCTATTCACTTTCATTTGTGATTTATTAAATAATCATTGGCAGCATGTTTTGGTTATTTACTTAGTTGCTACCTCAATATGCAATGAATTATATAGAACTTTTTTTCGTATTCTTTGCGTTTGAAACACTCACGCAGGGCAAATCTATTAAGCTATGTAGTATATATTGTTGAATTACGTCCGTCCGTCCGTCCGTTCACTTTTGTTAGAATGCTTATTCGTCGAATCAAAAATCGCTCTACTTGTTGATAACGATAGATCAAAAGAAAAATGGACATGGAGCGCTTACAATCATGCCCAGAAGAGTTGAAAAAGTGTAATGAACGCCAAGACATTGATGTACGCCATAACGCATTTTATAATGTACAACAAAATTTTACGGAGCCTTCAAAGTTTATGCTTAATGCTATTAGCTTAATGACGATCGATTACGGCCACGCCTACAATGGATCACAAAATGCAAATCGCAGCAGCCATCAATTTAAAAAACCGAAATAAACATTAGAGCAGCGATGAAAGATTCGGGCACAATTCAATCATGTCCTTTCGTCCGTTCGTCCACTTTCACTGAAACGCCTACGACAGCAGCGTGTGAGAAATGAAAATCAAAATTGCATTCTTTGTTCATAAAGATGAAAGTTAGTACGTAGCGCCTATAATTTCATCTATAGCCACGCCTACAAGAAAGAAAACTCTGTAATCAGATCAAGAGATTGAAAATTGTCATAACATCTTCAAGAACAACATTGTTCAAGATCTTCTAAACTAATGGCAATCAAAGATAGCCACGCCCAAAGTAGATGTTCGATTTAAAAATCAGAAATAAACTTTAAAAAATCGATGAAATACATTAAACTTATAGATTCACTTACAGTTTGGACACAATTTGGAAATGTCCGACCATTGTGGATACAATAACATAAAAATTGGTTTATGTAATTTTCGTTGGAAGTTATAGATCAAATTTGAAAATTGGGATGCGGATTTAATTAGAATTTCGTCTCTCATGGAGACAAAAGCTCCAAATTACTTCTAGAAATTTATTTGCAAACAAGCACACCCACCAATAAATATCGCACACTACCGTGCACTTATTCATGTAATGATATTTCAAAATGAGGCGCTATATGAGAAGTGGTCGAAAAAGTGGTTCGATTCGGTCCGATTTTTGCTAGCGTTCGTCCTTGGGTCAAATAGATGTCGATGTGCCAAATTTCGTTAAAGTATTTAAAAAATTACGGCCTTTAGGTGGTATATAAGGAAGCAAGATGGGCGGACAGACGGACAGATATAGCAGATAAGCTCTAATTATGGGCGGCGGATCTATCTCAAGACCTTTTCAGTGTGTGTACATCCGCGCAAAATCAATATACCCTTGCACCGAAAATGGTAGGGTAGGGTATAATATAAACTGAAAGACATACTTTTTAAAGGCAACTATCGCAACGAGATAGCAAACACGCCTATAACAGATAAATTTTGATAATTTCCAATTTTTAAGAAGAATTTTGATCAGCATCACCTAAAATCAATAGCAAATCGTTAATGGGCATTGGGAAAATTATTTTGAACCGAACATTATCTCTTTCTCTTTCATTGATTTTATCTTGAGCACCATATTTTTTTCGTAATGTATATAAAACTTAAGTTTTTGAAAATTGTTTATGTAAAACAGATTACTATACACATACACACACACACACATACGCGGTGTTTGCACAGAGAAGTATTTAATTTAATTTAATTTCAGTTAATTATATATATATTTTATTAGCTTTAATTTAATTTGCATAAAATTTTTTATATGCAGTTGAAGCTTTTTTTTTTTTTTTTTGTATTATTTACATACGCCTTTCTCGCGCTTCATTTGAATACAAAAAGAGATTGACAAGCGCCTGACAATTTCTTTTTATTTCACTTTCTCTCGTGGCTTTTCATTCCATTGCTAATTGCAATTTTTCTTATAAAAGATAGTCTCAGTGCATAAAAATATTATTTGAAAGTGCTTAAGAAAATTTCATTGTTAAGAGCCTGGAAGTGCTTCATAATGATATTTGCATTTATAATGGCAGTCAAAAATTTCATTGCCTAACAAAAAATTCATAATATTTTTCGAAAACCTCACTCTCAACGATGACGAAGTTTCCACTGTTGATTGGAAAAACAAGAACAATCTCCAATTTCGTGTGTTCGTGCATCCCGATGGTAATCAAGAGCACACTGGTAACTTTTCATTTTTGAATGCTTTGCTGAATTTAGACGAAATCGTAAAGACCATACAGTGGACGATCGAAGGACATGGTCAAACCTCAAAAGAATCCCGAAAATTAATCTCGACAAGCAGAAAGCAGAGTTTCAAGAGATAGCTGGCATCCGAAAGATGTCAACTATTAACTATTCTGGATGAAAGTTTGTACAAGAGCATGCTTTTTTTCAAATGGGATACGCGTGTAGCAAAAACTTCGTATCTCAAATCTATAATCGTATAATGAAGTTCGTATTTCTCGATTCTCTCTCTGCTGTATTTTCTACATACGCTCTTCCCCTTGCACAATCATTCAAAAATTACCCATTATTTACACACAAACGTACTTTTCATAAATTCCTGCATATTAGAGGTTATTAGCTTAGCTTCTTCTTCCCAAATACATTATTAGTTCTCAGTTTCCGTCATAAAAAACTAAAGCCCCTATCTATGTAAAAAATAGACTTGTGTGATCCAAATTTCGCACCTTTCATTTTTTTTTTTGTTCAATCGCTGCTATGCATTAATTTTCATCATGAAATATTAAAAAATTAAACCTTTATCATGAGAAATCTTATAAGGTCTCGAGTCCAAGAAATTGGCCCATTTGGTTCAAACTTGGTCCAGTTAATTTTTATGTCAAATTATTATGATGAACAAATTTTCGTCATCAAATATTAACAACACTGCCTTTTTGGGCTGTAAGGATTTACTTTTCCTGAGAAACCCTATATGCGTTGGTATGTAAAAAATAGACTTAAAATTCGTTCAACTTCGGTCAAGTAGATTTCTTTGTCAATTTACTATTATGAACCCATTTGCAGCATGATATATTGAAAATTAGATCCGTTCATAAAATAAATATTCGCCTTTCGTTGGAACGATTATATGAGAGGGGGTCCAAAAATTGTCACAATTTAGCAATGATGAAATATTATTGTATGCATAGTTGTGTCGAAAAATTTTGCAAAATTAATATTTTTTCAAAATAAGGCGTGACATGGAGAGTGATCGAAATAGTGGAGCGTTTCGAATCATCTTCAATTGTGTTTATCCCTGCGTCAACTCATATCAGCGCACCAAATTTAAGCGAAATGTCTCAAAAAATGCGATCTGCGGTTGAACACAAATTTACATGGACAGACGAACAGACGGACAAATAGGCTTTGTGTAATAAAAGGTGAGTTTGTCTTACGACCTTCTGGGTGTTGCATACTCCCGCAGAAACTTAATATACCCCTTACCCCAAATGATCTTCGTTCTACTGTAAAAGTTTCATTTCCATGCGAATCCTTACATGAAGTGGAGTTCAAAAAATAGTCCTACGTTACTTATATCTGGTACAAATAATTTTTATATCAAGTTACTATTGTAGGTTAATTTTCATCTTAAAGTATTAAACACTAGATCTTTCCTTGTCTTGCAAAGTTTTGATTTTCCGAGAAACTGTTATAAGACTGTATATGGGATGCGGTAATAAAAGTGCTCCGATTCATTCCGTTACTGGGTTCAAAACAGGTCACTTTAGCAAATTTCCGCAAAATATTTGAAAAATTGTGGGGAAGGCATTCGTTCGATGGACAGACACACTTAAATTATTGCAATAAATAGTTCTATATAATAAGAGGTGAATATGTTTTGAATCGTTCTGCGCATTACATACACCCGTACAAACTTAATGTCAGTACAGGCAGACAGACAAACTTTGAACTTTGCAATAAGTAGTTCTACCTAATAAAAAGCGCATCTATCTTAAATCGTTCTAGGTGTTGCATACATCTGCACAAACTTAGTATATGCACAGAATGACTGACAAGCATATATCGTTGCAATAAATGGTTCTATATATTGAGATTTGAACCCACGACCATTGAGTTGCCAGTCGAGATGCTTGCCTACTCTGTCACTAACGAGGATTGAATTCAAAGATCTTTGATGCGTTCATTAGCAATCGCATCGTTAACGTCATGTTTTTTTGCAATTACAAGGTGGTTAAATGTGGGTTAGTTTTCTACATCGCCGAACTGTTTTCAGACAGACCTATTCGGAACGAAGCCTGGCAAGCTTCACTTCTCATAGCGTCACATAAGTTTTTACAAATAACCTACGCAATCCTTTAACTACATCTTATCCCTTGTCGTCTTATTCACTCTACATTCTGTTTGTTTTGCTTGGCAGGAAAAGCGAATTTACCTTCACGTAGTCAAATACGACAGAACTTTTCCGTTTCCTTATGTAATATATTTTCTATAATAGATTGTCTCTGTAATATTCTTTTTTTGTTGTTATTGTATATTTTAAGCGTCAGTATTCATTATCGTTTTGAATCTTACATCAGCTGCCGGGAATACAAGCTATGACGAGGGCAATGATCAGCCTCGTCACTTGACTAACGATCAATGTAAGTGCATCTTTTGAAATAATTGAATTTAGATTTGAAATCAATTCCAATAATGGAAAATTTTTGGATTTACAACTATTTTTAAGGTAGCATCTTTTTCCCAGTTATATAAACGGTTATCCTTTTCATCAAGTACGAACAATGCTGGCGCGTTAAAAATACCTGGACGCCCGACAAATCATACAAAAGTACAAACGAGTTCTAATGCCGATGTGAGTAGTAAAGAAGACTATGTATCGTCGGAGTATTACGATGACGATAGCGAAGAGGAAAATACTACAGCGAGTAGCAGCGAGAGTAGCGACAGCAGCAATAGTAATGAATCCTCTCCGCGATTGCTATCTCAATCGACTATTAATCGAATTTCGGAGACTTTGGGTGCTTTAAATACAGTTGGGCATTTACTTGTCGATATAACAAGAGGCGGACATGAGTCAAAAACTGAGATTCCCAATACTACGTCTACTACGTTGTCTACCACATCGGCAACTGAATTCAAAAATGAAATTACAATGACAACGACAATAACACCTCAACCAATATCTCAAAATATTTCGCTTGAAAGTAGTAATATAGCGAATAATCAAATCGCTACGAAACGTGTTGGGGAAGAGAAGCCAATGCAGAGCCCAATTTCCATAGAGAATAAAGAAGTTAAGAAGAAGAAAAAGAAAAAGAACAAAAACAAAAACAAAGTGAAAAAACCTGCTGGAGAATTGCAAACGAATAATTCAATAACGATTGATAAAATTCCCACTACATTGCGACCTTTCATTACAACAACAAGTACAACTGCTTTACCTAATCCATCCTTAACCAATCAACTACCATTGGTGAACAATGAATCTGCTCCGAAAGATGTAGATAATCGTTGTAGAACACCAAGTGGTCGACCAGGACGTTGCGAAGATTTAAGCAGTTGCCCCGCCTTACTATTGAATCTCAGCAGTTTACGAGAATCTCTCTGCTTTAAAAGTCTATTTGTACCGGGCGTATGCTGTCCTATACCGGAACCATCTACCGTTTTAACAACTCAGCGTCCGTTAAAATTAACCACCAAGCGGCCCCCAACAACAGCTACCACGAAAAAACCTCAAACACGCCCTTCATCTTCGCCTAGTCTGGTATTGATACCACATATAAACCCTACAACTAGCACAACGTTAAGTCCATTAGATTCGAATGGAGGCGAAAACATAATCGATCCCGAAGATTGTGGCCAGCAAGAGTATTCAGCGGGACGCGTTGTAGGGGGCATGGAGGCGCCTAATGGACAATGGCCTTGGATGGCGGCAATTTTTCTACATGGTTCTAAGCGTACCGAGTTTTGGTGCGGAGGTTCTCTAATTGGATCGAAGTACATTTTAACAGCCGCACATTGCACCAGAGATTCACGCCAGAAACCGTAAGTATTTTTATTTTCAGTCAAATTAAGTTTGTTATCATTATACCCTACATCACTTGTGGTACATGGTATATTAAGCTAGTATGGACGTACGTAACACTTAGAAGGCCTTAAGATAGACCAACATTTTAAGCTTGCTTGCCCGTCTGTCAATCTGTTCGTCTGATGCCTGTCCATGTAAATTTGTATGGTAAAAGCATTACAGTCGTGTGAGCCCAAACATTAAACAGCCTACATTCCTACACCCTACACCTATCCCTAGTATAATTATTTACGCGTTTTAGTAATCAGACAAGATGGCACATTGTTTTCATCAAAAGACATACCTTAAACGAAAGTCTGCAGAATCGAGAATGCCCAAAACACCGTATGTCGTGATCAAAATTTAGCAAACATAACTTACTTCCCCAAAAATTTTATTATTTTTTAGTTTTTGTTATAGAAAAGTAGGAAAACTAGGCCGTATAAGAGCTTGCTTTTTATAATAATCCAAATATATATTGGGGCCTGAAAAATAGACCTATGTAGTCCAAATTTTCTTTTGTTCTTTTTTTTTCGTTATATTTCTGCTATGGACCAATTTTTAATGATGATCCCTTCTTCCGAAGCTCTTACTTTTTAGAAGAAATCTTAGTTGGGAGGGAGGTCCAAGAAATAGACTCATGTGGTTCAAATTTTGTTCACGAAATTTTTACTAACAAACTTTCGTTGTAAAACATTAGCAATTTTTGAGATATAAAGGCTTACATTCCTTGAGATTCCTTATATGCCATATCCAAACGTGGTCCAAATTTGGTAAGGTTGACTTCCTTGTCAATTTATTATTATGAACAAATTTTCCCAATAAAATTAAACTTTTTTATTACATAAAGTTTCAGTTTTGATGGCAAAGCTATATAAGAAGGGTTTCAAACCGTTGCCCTAGCCAAATCAAACTTTTCACACTAATCGAGAATGCCAAAAAACTATTACTCAGCAAATTGGGTCGGGAAATTTTGAAAATTACAATTTTTTGTCCATATAACGCACTATTTTGAAAAGTCGTTATATGGAAAAATGGTCCGATTCGAGGAAATTTCGATAGCGTCTTTGCTTGGGCCGAAACATGTCAGTATGTGCCAAATTTCATCAAAATATCTCAAAAATTGCGATCCGCTTGCTGAATATAAGAGGTAAGATGGACCGACTAACGACAGACCGATCTTCTTCTATCATGTTTTCTGGATGGTGCATATGTCCGCACCAATTTAACATACCTTTGTACCACAAGTGGTACAAAGTATAAAAATTGTTCGGAATAGCTTATCGGAAACATGTTTCACTAAGGAAAGACTTGTTTGGTTTGACGATGCTTGGTGACGCTGTTACAAAAATCGTGTTTCGAGGAAAATGCATTTAAAGTTTTAATTGCTCGCCATAGTGTAATATACAATTGTGTACCAAAAATCAATTTTTTTGACCATTTGATATTTTGCCACGCCCATAATTGTCTTGGCTATTTAAGGGATCAATTAAGCCAATCAAAAAGAAAAAAATAGATTTTTTGATAAATGAGCAGGGGCTTTACCCCTTAAGTATTTGAAGTTTTTATGTGTACCATGTAAAGCCCAGGATTAGATGGACCACCATATTTCAGTAGATCACGTAGTAATGTACGCTTACTTGCTTTTAGATTCGCGGCGAGACAATTCACTGTACGATTAGGTGATATTGATTTATCTACGGACGCTGAACCCTCAGCGCCGGTAACATTTGCCGTTAAAGAAGTTCGAGCCCATGAAAGGTACATAAAATTACAATTTTTGTAAAAAATAAAATTTTCCATTTTTCATTTTTGTAAAATTTTTCATTTCTTTCGCTACAGATTTTCGCGCATTGGATTTTATAATGATATTGCGATCTTAGTACTGGATAAACCTGTGAGGAAATCAAAATATATTATACCTGTATGCTTGCCGAAGAATGGTCGTGTTCCGCCCAACGAACGTTTACCGGGTCGTAGAGCAACTGTAGTGGGTTGGGGTACAACTTATTACGGTGGTAAGGAGTCAACAAGTCAGCGCCAGGCGGAGTTACCCATATGGCGCAACGATGATTGCGATCGTTCGTATTTTCAACCTATTAATGAAAACTTCATTTGTGCCGGTTATTCGGATGGCGGTGTTGATGCCTGCCAGGTTAAATTTGAACTAATGAAAATCATTATTGTTTTTCGATTTTCTTTATTTTTCCTTGTTTTTTTTTTTTTTAATTAATTATAGGGAGATTCTGGTGGTCCACTTATGATGCGTTACGATTATCGTTGGATACAATTGGGTGTCGTTTCGTTTGGTAACAAATGTGGTGAGCCTGGTTACCCAGGTGTTTATACTCGGCTAACTCAATACTTAGATTGGATACGTGATCATACAAAGGATTAATTGCGAAAAGTTTCCCTCAATGTCCCGTTATTATTTTTATAATTAACTAGTCTCTCCACATTGCGTACATTTTATTATTTTCATTTATTAAATAATCCGCGCTTTCAATTTACTCGACCATATTTATATTTACAATATTTCAAAACTTTTTTTTTTACTGCTGATGAAAAAATGATATGAGAAAATACACTAATTAATTATAAATAAATATTATTTTTGTTGGTAAAATCATGAGGCCAGGTGAACGTGGACAACTATTGAACTTAATGGTACTAAGGTAATAAAAAAAATTTTTACCCGAAAATCTTTTGAAGCAGGTAATGCAAAGCGCTTTAGTGGGAAATATTTTTCAGCATTTCTTGTATACGATGCTATCTCATTTATGGTTTTTTTTTTCTTCATCTATAAATACATATACGTACATCATAACGGATGTGCACTTAAAACAAATAAGAATACTATACTAGTACTTCACCGAATAGGAGTCTTTCAATTATTATTTTCGTAACAATATGCTAAAAGTGTATGTGTTATTTTTATGTACACGCAAAATTCGCATGAAAGCCCCCCTTCGCATTAGGGGACACTCAAGACGTTAGCTAACGTCTTGCAAAGTTAGCTTAGTTTACTTGTCAAAGATATTAGAATGTTCCGGTTACTTCGGTCCTAGCAAACCACAAATTAGGCTTTATGACTATAGAAGGCTTTGCTTCCATGAGAGCCGCAGTGTACGTTGTGGTCTAAAAAATAGATCTATGCGATTCAGATGCACTTTAATTGGAAAGTACTAAGGAAAAATTTTTATCATAAAATATTAAAAATTGAATCTTTTTGCCTTAGAAATCCTTATTTTCCTCATTATCTACGCAATATCTACGTACTATGTACATATTGTTGACGCACTGTCTACGATTTACTAGCTTATTATCTATGTTATATACGCATCCCGACAAAGTGTCAGCATATCGCTTGCGAGAAAATTAACGGTTTATGAGAGAAAAATATTAATATCAATTAACTTTGCGGGAATAATGTTCCCCTTTTTTTATAATATCACTTCAAGGCTATAGTTATTTACCTTCTATTGTAAGTAGAATTTGACAAATTTATGCACTTTATTTAAAAACTCGATATTGATTCACTAACGTAATGACAACATTACACAATAAAGTAAATAAATGCAACTAATAAATGCCATAAAAATTTTAATAAAATATGATTATGAATAATTATATTTATATCAATACGAAATGCACATTTGATAGAGTTAATGAATACGCCGACAACCTAATCCGATTAATGAGAGAAATTACAAAATATTGGGAAGAGCAAGTAATTAGTTTCGATGTATTATTCCAAATATAACGCAGTTTTTGTCTCAAGTGAAAAACTTTATTCGATTCATGTCAATCCGCAAAAAAACACAGTCGAAAGAGGCAATGGCGCATTTCCTGCTATACATTGATCTCAGTTAATCTGATTTTCACATCTAATCTCACGTCATCTGTAGAACTATTTCAAAAACATCTGTTATTCTAAACGTTTGATCGTCTTGATGTAGGAATTTGCCAGACGAATAGCAATTCATGTTTTCAATGCCAACTTGTGTGCAAGAACTTCCAATGTTCCCGCCAAATTTAAAGTCGGCGGACTTGCTTAAATCAATTTCGAATTTGACGCTGAGCAAGAGTATTTATACAGATAAAAAAAAAAAGAAATGGGCGTGATAAAGCCAAGTCAAGATACAATTAGTTTTTAGTATGAAGAAATTCCAACCCATATAGCTAAACTAGTTCAGCTAATCTGGGGTGTAACACCCTTCCTACTGTTATCAGCCTACAGCACTGCTTTCGGTCATCACTTGTTCGTAGCAAGGCACATGAACAACGCTATACATCATATGAAGACATTAAGAGGTTAGGTCGATCCGAGGATCGAAAGGTGAGCATTTATTCCAACATGTCATCTGAATGTCGCCACGAGTCGAAATAGTACAAAAGAATAATACCGCTGCTCGGCGATTGCATATAAGGGGCACAAATGGTAAAATTTATCCGTATTTGGTTGTAATTGATACTGGATTGGGAGATGCACGTCGGGAAGAACGTGTACTTCAGCTGCTGCGCATGTTGAATTATTATTTGGAAAAACAAAAAGAGACTACGAGAAGATTTTTGAACATTACTGTACCACGCGTTGTACCTATTTCGCTACAAATGCGTTTAGCGGAAGATAATCTGGCCAGCATATCTTTGTATGAAATTTATAAAAGCAGTTGCACCAAAATGGAAGTCGAGCATGATTTACCGATCATGAAATATTATGAGCGTTTGTCGGAAGTGCAATAATTTGCAATCCCAAGGAGCTCAAAGCACATTAGTGATGTTGCGTGACATATTCCAAGAAATACAAAATAAAATGGTACCCAAAACATTGCTTAAACAATGGGCTCTAAAGACATTCTTATCGGCAAACGATTTTTGGCAATTCCGTAAAATGGTAAGTTTATGTTCATTATTTATATATATTTTTCATTCAATAATCACTAAACTGTTCCATTATACAGATGACACTGCAATTGGCTTTGGCTTTCCTGTGTGAATGTGCCTTACATTTAACTCGTCTCAATACCGACATGATTTATATTCACCAGGACTTTAAAGGCATATGGATATCATTATTTCTCTTCTTTTTTTTTTTCTTACGATAATTACTTTTGGATTGTTAATAGATGACGTTTATTTCTAAATAAAAACTAAAAAAAAAAACATAAAATCAAACAAACATATTTTTGCTATCCTGATGGGAATTATTTTTATTCTATTAGCCACTCTTTGTCCGTTATTAACATGACACCATCATAGTTTGGCGTCGCGTTTTAATCATCTGACAAGAAAGAGAGTGCTAGAAAGAGTAGAACCGCAACAAATAATATTTTCTCCTATAATTTGTCTGATATTAGGTCCTTACAGCCTTGCAGCAATTTCCAGTCAGACAAAGAATCTCAATTACTCATTAACTCAATTCACTCATTAAAATTTATTCGATTGCATTGAATGATAAGAAAGCACAAATAATTAATTTCAATCAATTAATATAATAACTTTTTCCCATAAAACATGTAACTTTATCTTGAGTTCAAGTATTGCTTATGAAGAGGTCGTGTAATGTAATAATTCAATAATTTTTTTCATTTTCAAATTCAATAATTTGCAAGTGCTGATTGCAGCTTTTCCAACGTTGTAACGAACGCTTTTAGAAAGCCGTGCCAATTACCTATCTCCAGGCACTTGGCAAGGTAATTTGTTGTAATCGGTGATTAATTTGAGTTCCTCTTCGATGTACTCAACGTCTTCTAGGAGAAAGTGTATATTTTTTATGTGCAGGTACTCGCAGTGCCCTGTGTCCACGAGTTTGCAATTGGAAACATGATTATAGAATTCTTCGAAATTTGCTGGTTTCTGCAAAAAAAAAAAAAATTTAATTCTCTAGCTATATCTAGTTATATCTTTAGAATAACATCCTGCTAAAAAAGGCATTCCACATAAAGCTAAATTACCTGGGGAATTTCTGATACCGTCCTCTCCTCATTATCACATTCGTATATCTCGTTTTATGTCGCTAGAAAGATGAGAAGAAGTAAGTGCTAGGGATGGATACTTATTTATTATTACAATGAGTTCTTACAATAATTACGATAAAAGTAAAACAAAGGCATTTTTTATATAGTTACACTAGTCCCGTATTCTAAGTATTGTGTATAGTAACGAAGGCATAATGATAAGCTCAGGTCCCGACAACCCTATATCTATATGACACCCATAGCTTAAGAAGTAACTCACTATCACTATTACAGTATAAGGAAGACTTCATTATATCTACCGCAATGAATGCATGTATAGAATACACAAACTACACGGGCGATATATTTAATACCCGATAAATTCAAGTTCCATTATTATAAAGAAAACAGGCAAATAAAATTTTTTAATGATTTTTTTTTTGAAATTTCTTCTTCGCACGCCTCGCAAAAATATACAATAAATTTCTTTTAAACTCTTGAAACTTAACGATGGAAAGCGGGAAGCAGTAAATTAAGGCAATTTTTTTTGTTTAAATAATAACCTACGAAATAAGAAGCTATGTTATGTCTTAAACAGGTAAAAAGTTTATAACTACATACTCCTGATCATTACATATCTTGCATCTTACTATCGTATAATGGCTTTTCAATGGCCGATCTGAAGCATTTTCAATAGCGTTTTTCCTTGGGCCAAAGTACGTCAGTATACAAAGTTCCATCAAAATCTCAAAAATTACAACTTGCAGCTTGAACACGAATTTACATGGACGGAGATCAGATGGACAGACAGCCTTAGATCAATTCACATTATGATTCAGAATCGATCGGCATAGTATAAGGCGGGTCTATCTTAAGCCCTTCTGCACGTTACATACGACCGAACTTGCTTAATATACCCTGTACCACAACTGGTATAAGGTATAAAAACGAACATATGATATATGAATACGATATAATAGTGGATGATTTTTTTCCATTTTCAATAGAAATCTTTATCTGTTGTAACTTATAAGTAACGCGGAGAAATTTTTCCTTCTTACTTTCGAAAGAAGAGGTGTTCGCAGATTAGTTTACACTACTATAGATATTTTCTACATAGTCTGCGATTGGTATTTCTATGTCTTAGGAGCATTTGAAATGTAATACACTTCCTCTCTGACCGATATAAAATTTAAATAAGACAATTGTGTTCAGCTATGACCGATTTTTTTATGTTCATCACCTTCGGCAAGTAAAGCATACTATGAGATACGTGGCATTCAAATACTGTATGAGTCTGGCCAATTTTTCCATTTTTATATATCCATTTTGCATTTGTTTACGTCTGTTTATGTAGTTCGCGTGCGACAAGTAAAAATGTCAATGTTTTGCTTTTCAAAACAGAGATATTCTCAGTTTACATATGACATATCCTTTTACCGATTCTTGGCCCATTTCCAATTTCAAATGAACAGTAGAAATTTATAACGTTTTTTTTTAAATTTTAGTGACATAGATGGATATTTACCATATATGGACGAATAGACACACCTGTCTAGATCGTTTCGGAATTTGATTTATATATTTTTCGATAATATGTATACAAAAAAGAGACATTAAGCATTATTCTCAATTCACATACAATGTATCCTTGAACAGACTCTTGGTCGGCTTTAAATTAACAGCAGGAATTTCTAAAGTTTTTTCTTAATTTTCATGGCAGTGATGAATATTTGCTCCTGAATGGGTGGACATACCTGTTGAGATCGTTTCGGAATTTGATGGTGGTAAAGATGTACACATATATATCTGTATATATATTTTTTTCCCTTTGATGATACATATGTACATATATACGTACATATATACCCTCTACGATCGATAGCGGGAATAAAGAAGATATTATGCTTTAGATGATCTAAAATTCATTGTTTGCCTTTTTTCTTAAAACTGCATTCATTAATTTTGTTGAGCACAATTCGCGCTAGTTTTGTTGTGCATACACAACTCTTTAAGCTTGTCGTGTGAGACATTTTTAGCTTTCAATATTGAAGTTCATGTATTTACACATTTTGGTGATTATATTTGGTGCAACGCTCTAAAGTTATTTATTTAATTAATTAAAAGTTCATTTTAACATAACATTTGCATGTTTAACACATTGCTGTCCAGCTAAATTACTCAGGTAAATCTATTTTATATAATAAATAGAAATTTAACGTAAGCATTGTGATTTTTAATCAGTAAATGTTTTCGTTGAGAAACGTTGATGCTTTCTTTTTTCTCTCTCGCTCTCTCCCTCTCTCTCACTTATTCTCTATTCTCACCGGCATTTGTTTAGTCAGGAAATTTTATGAACAAACGTGTTAAACGAATTTTTAGCTTTGTTTATATCGTAATTGTCACATGACTACAGACGGTATATTAAATTTTCGTATCGCGAGTAACACATGGAATCATATAAGTACATATCTATTTATGTAAATTATGTGGATATGCAAGCACTGTGCAACATATAGTATATATATGTATTGTATATGGTATATATACATAAATAACTTGAGTAGTGAAATTGATCTATCTAAAATTTATCATTGCCTGTGTGTCTATCTATTGTTCATCCCTCCGATGAGGTTACAATTACGACTATATAGTACTCTCTAGAAAAGGGAATTTGGTCGTAAAACTTGTTCGTTCATAGATAAAAAGCGAGAATACATTAAAAATCGGTCCATGTGTCTAACCATAATTAACCAAAAAAAAAAAAAAAAACTGAAATCTTCACAATAGAGCTACTAATTAAGTCACGTTAGCGACAAATATATATACATATATCTACATTTGACGTTGCATATAAAATCGTGTAAGTTTTAAACATATAATATTTAATGGGCTTGATGTCCGGCATTGGCTGAGTTCTCATAAGTATTTGTGTGGATTAGAAACGTGATTACCAACTCGGTGTTCGCAGAGTCAAATCTCAAGCGAGGTAAAATTTACTTTGGTCCTAGTCATAGCCGGTAAAGGCATAACACTTACCGATACACCCCCTCTATAGATCTGACGCTGTATAGATCTGTAAGTAGCTTAGGCGGGCAACGCATTTATGTGTACGAAAAATATTTTCTTAAGTTTCTTTCACACATAAAATAGATTAAAGTAATTCTGAAGTAAGCGATTCATCGAATTGAAACAAGGTTAAGCGAAGATCAATCATTCGATATATGGAGAAATTGTGTGTAGAACGATCATGATTTTCAGTAGACCCTCTATTACGCTTTTGAATTCTGTTGCGTGAAAATCAAGCAACGCTTTAGAAAAACAAGGTTTAGGACTTTTGACGCAATGCGTTGCACATTAGTTGAAACAGGCTAAATACAGTCGAAAAAAAATATAGAATGTCCAAAATTTACGTAAGATTTGATAGAAGATATTTGCACGAAATTTGATACAATGACGTGCTTCGGCCCAAGGAAGAACGCTATTGAAAATGGTTTAAATCGGTCCAATTTTTCGACCTCTGCCGTATTCAGAAAATTCGTTATATCGAAAAAATTGGAATTTTCAAAATTTCTCGAACAAAATGGCTAAGTAATAGTATTTTGGCATTCTAAATTGGTATGCAAGCTTTGGAACTACTGAGGCAATTTGTGAACCACTTCTCATCTAATGAAAACTGCTGTTCCTATGATAAATCCTTCTTGATGAAAATCAGATGGTTACCGTAATTTATGATAAAAAAAATTAACTGTACCGTGTTTGGATCATCTCGGCATATTTTTTGGATCCTACTCTAGCAAGGACTTTTACGAAAATTGATTCCATAATTTCATACAAAAATGAATTCCATAAAATTTGGATCATCTACGTTTTTTTTTTGGAACCTGTCTTATATAAGGATTAAACTTGTACATTAGGTTGCGTTTTGGCTCCGCTTCCCGATAAATACGCACTTGAAAAATATGACTTTATATAAAAACAGGATATAATTTTTGTGTTCTATTATAAAAAGTAACAATTGTGTTAAACCATGTGGTGTATGGTATTGAAAGGTCGTCCTTGCCCAGCTATAATGTTCTTACTTGTTTCATTACTGCGAACACCGGTACTGAGAAGACGACAACTGTCTCTCATTTGCTCTCTCTGGTTTTTGTCATGCGCGCATATCAAAGTTCAGAGTTGAACGCAATGTTTTTAAAAATTTTTTAAGTAAGTTCCAATTGACGTCACTATTCAGAATCTAATTAACGTAAAATTATTAAAACTTTGCAAATATCAAATGTTGAAGGAAACACGAAAAATCAATAAAAATAATTTTCACAATTGCTTGTTTACGTTTGCCGTTTGTTGTTGTGTTTGCCGCATTTAAGCTATTTATTGCAATGAAGTGAAGTGTTGCCAACAGTTTAACAAAAGAATTAATGCATTGCAAAGGGTTTTATTAAATGCAATTCATTTCTACCATACGGTCTTGAACTATCAGTTACTTGTGTCGGTTTTCTTTCCCGACATTGTTCCCCTTTTTTTATTATTAAAAAAAAAAACAGTTCTAGGTACCAAATGCGCACATTTCTTCCCATCTATTAAATGCTTGACGCGCTTCATTTTGCTTTGTGAGTTCCTTCATTTCTTTTAAACCGGTTATTGAAAATCTTTTAAATCAATATTAATCCCTTATTAAGGACAAGATAAGACGTAAATAGATAGAAATCTTGTGCGCTTTGCTTGCTGCTGCTGAGTCAAGCAAGAAAAAATCCTATTTAGGTGATATATAAAAATAGCATATATACATAATATATAATACGTATATATGTATATAGCATATACCTCCAGTGCATTGCTTGCTTGACTTAGCATGTGATACAAGAATTAAGAGGAAAGAAATTAAAATAAACCTACAACGTATGAGATTTTCGTAACAGTACTTTTAAAATGCCATAATGCCGTAGTCGTTGCATTCTATATAGAATGCCTAGCAGAAATGCAATTCTTTAAAGGATTGTTTCAATTCTCCATAGTTCATGAAGAATTTATAAATGATGCCAAGTTTTTGATTTATGAATAGAAATAATCATGCTAACAGCAAGCGGGTTGAGAGTGCGGGGAAATAGCATCAATTTTTCGTCGTCCTCGTGGTTGAAAAACTAAAAAAACTTTTATCTAAAAATTATTTAGATCATTTAATCCTGTAGGCGCTTAGACGAGATGTTGTCGAAATAGTGTTCCGATTCAAAGCATTTTCAAAAGCGTTCGTCCTTTGGACTAAACTTATTTGTGTATCAAATTTCTTAAAAATATCTTTAAAGTTGCTCCCTGTAGATGGAACAAAAGAAAACAAAACAGATACTCGGAGCGAAATTCGAATTTCACAACTTGAGAGAGTAAGTAAATGAGGGAAGTTCAGATTGATTCAGAAAGTGACTTTGAATTGATCGGAAATAATGAAAGATGCACCTTTTCGTTGTGCACGAACTTAGTACACCATTGTAGAATAGTTTTGCTCTTGTAACATGTAATAAAAACTTGTAGAAGCCTGCAAAGACCAAAAAAAAAAATTGTTCAACTCTTCAATCCTACAATGCGATATATATTTCTTTGTGTGCGCACTCATTACCGCCCAATTAACTAACTAATTAACAATAGTTAATTTAAACATCAGAGCTTTAAAAGCATTCCAGCATTATATGTTTAGCAGTTACTTCTACTTATTCGAAATAAGTATTCTATTCCAGTAACTTCTACTTAGTGTATGCATTTAATTACGAAAAGTGTGCTCGCTCGATTTGAGGACATCTGGTATAGAATAACAAAAGATTAAATGGAAATTGCCATATCATTTACTCGGATTACTAAAAGATGGCGTTGCGTAAACAAAATTTTGTAATTGAAAAAAAAAATACAACTTGTTTATAGTTTTATAACCATCACCGATAACGTTCTCTTTCTTTTTCTGCTCTTTTTTGCATTTACCTAAAATAACTCACGTGTTCATTATTTAATCGTCATTATTCAAAACGAAGCATGCATTCCATCAGAAATATAAAATGTGAGCATTATGTTAAAAACGTGATAACTATGTTCAAAACGTTTCATATATGTTAAAGACGTAAGCTTTAAAATCGGTTAAAAGTGCAAAAAGCGAATATTGTATCCGAAATGGCAAACAAATGGAAGGAAAAGCAAATTTAGTTAGAAATTTCCCTTTCTAAGGGCAAACTCTTGCCATTCACATGAAGATATTAAAAGAATGAAGGATGGGAGATATACGTGTTTGTCAAATGTTTGCAGAAGGCAGCAGAGACCCTACAGAGGACTTATATTCTTGATCAACATCAAACTCTGAAGCGATTTAAGCAAGTCCGTCTGTCCGTCTAGTTGTTAATTGTGCATTTAGCAATAGAGTTAAACATAATCTTGCACTTTTCTCTGCCCTTTCGTAATACCTAAAGAGTAAACCTTCGAAACTCAAGACAAACAACAAAAAAGCACTCTTGAGCATATAATTTTCGATGAAGAAGCATGAATAAGAATATTTGCATATGTGAAAAAACTTCTGCTATTTTCATTCTCTTAGTTATATCCTAAACTGCTTAGGGCATAGGGCAAGTTTGTGCGTACGACTGTAACACTCGAAAGGACTTGAGATTAACTCCGTCTAAGCTTGTTTGTCCGCCGGTAACTCTTTCTAATATTCTTTTGTTCGGCCTACAGATCGCAATTTTTTAAAATATTTTCATGAAATTTGGTACATTGACATATCCTGACCCAAGGACATGCGCTATTGAAAATGGTTTGAATCGGACAGCTACTTCGACCACTCTCCATATAATACCTTATTTTGATAGGTGATTGTAAGAGATAATGTTGCAATTTTCAGAATTTCCCACCAAATATCGCTTAGTTGTAATATTTTGGCATTCTAAATTGGTATGGAAGCTTTAGATCGAATGAAAGACGTTCTCCCTAAAAAAATTCGTTCCTAAAAAAAATTTGTGACATACAAACTAACTCTGCCGAATTTAGATCATGTGCGGTTTTTTGTTTTGGATCCCAAGCCATATAAGTGAGCACATTACACTCGGGATACAAGTGAAAACATTATACTCGTCCTAGGTTGCCTAGTAAATATCCTATATCACGTTGTCTAAGACAATTCTTATTTTTGCCGTCGAATAAAAATATTATACCTTGTTTTTATACGAACTTACAATTATGGACCTAGATATTAAAAATTAGACCTATTCGCAAATAAGCGCTCACTTTCCGTAAGAATGGTTGTACCCAAGAGGTTCAATATTCAGCACAGTTAATTTTATATCAAATTACTATTATGGGTCAATTTTAATCATACCATATTAAAACTTAAACTTTTTTCTCTTACAAATTTTTTTTGAAATTTTTCCTATGTAGGGTAGGATCCAAAATATCGACTGAGGTAGTCTAAATTTGGTGCAGTTAGTTTTTATATTATTATTTATTATATTAGTATTATGGTGTTATTTTCACCATAAAGCTTTGAAAATCAGACTTTCTTGTCATATGAATTTCAATTTTCTTTATATGAGAAGAAGGTTCCAAAAATTGTCTGACAAGGTTCAAAGTTTTCACACCAATTTAGAATGCCGAAGTATTATTATTTACCTACTATAAGGAAAGTTGCTAGACTTTTTTTGGTCCTGCACGTAGTTATAAATTATTCCTACATGTATAAGGTAGGATAAGCATATTTTGCTTTCCGCTCATTTGCTTTTATAGCAAGCAGTTTGTTATCCTCTTGTGAATATCATAGGGATGCTGTAGGCTTTAAGATGTGTGACAAGGGTTTTACGTAGGTTTCTGCCTTGGCAGCTTAACCCTACGATGCCGATGACACACAAGTTATGTAAGCGTAACCCGCGCCCTTCAGAGAGTTAGACAATCCCTATAAGCTAGATGTCTAAACAACACTGGAATCCACATTTGTTTATTGTGTTTGGCTCAATAATTTCACTGTGGTCAGTATTGAGGCCTATTCTTATATCGATTTATTCCGCTTTGGAATGGTGAAAACTACCGCCACCACGAATACTCCCCGAAGGATCGTACCCAAGCAGTCAGAGTTGATCAACTGTTGCGTTTAAAGGGATTGAGCTTGTTCCACCGCGGTTTCCACAAGTGTTTACAGTTAATCAATGGTGTTACCATTGCCCGTAGGCACTCGTGACTCACACGTATGCACCTTCCAGTGTACTTTAATGACGCATTTATTCAAATTTCGTCAACTCCACAAAATCTTTTCATATTATAATTATTCACTTTCCAGCGGACCTTAACCGCGCATTTAGGCAAAAGGGTCAAAAAGCCTACTGTCAAATGCATTTTATTCATTTTCCTGTAATTTGTTCGACCCTTTGTCAAGGTAAGATAATATTATACTATGCACCTTCCCGCGTACTGAAATGGCGTATATAGTCAAATCCCATCAAATCCATTTAATGAAAAGCTATCACACTACCCGTAGATACACGTGACTTATGACCCCCGTGAAGATTAAAATTAAACTATAAAGCCTTTAGCCTTACTTTACGCGACTGAACATAGTCATAGTCACTCTTGCCTTCGGATTAACCATAAAATCCCGGCTAGCCAAAACCAGACTACCCTTCATCAAGATATTTTAGCATCGGGCGTTACAACTGAGATGGCGGGCGTTACCATGCACTCACTAATTACTATGTCAACGTATTTTTACGTAACCAGTTACCAGCTGGTTTTGGTTAGTAATTAGTTCTATAGTAATTAGCTTTATGAGAAAGGAATACATCCTCCAGTAAACCGCTAAGCCTTTTCTCAGAAAACTAGTCGCCGAGTTATAAATAGTCCAAGCCTTAAACTCTTCTTGGCCGGTCGTGACCGTTTCCAGGGATCACCACGAGGAGGTGGAAGTTTCGGCATATTTATGCTGCCCCCACAAAAGCAAAGTTTATCATCCCGCTGAATGCTTTAAGTAAGGACGGAATGAAATGGGAATATCGCATTCGGAATAATTTAATTGGCATACGTCGAATGTGATCAACTAACCGACTGGCAAGGTCAATTCGTTTTTGAGCAGAGATATGATTGAAGATTCCATATGTGAAGATTTCTCATCTTCGTCGTTCTGGATCGAACCGCCGACCGGATAGCACACCAACGTCCGAAATAAACTCCATCATCATCCGCTGGAATTGCACGCTGTAGATGCCTAATTAGGGATTTTTCGAAAGGAGACCGTTCGTTCCGTCCGATGACCAGTGATGATAGGTCATTAAATTCAGTTAAATATAGGCACTTAAATATTAATTT